TGGATACAAAAGTGTAGTATAATGCAATAACGCGCGCAGCGCGAGTGGCTTTAGACCCAATAAAACAAGACCTGTGAGTTTATTAAACGGCTTCAAACACGACTACAAATTCAATAGATTTACTGCCTTATTAGTATCCTTTATATAAAGAATACTAATGAGGACACGACTACAATAGATACTGCCTTATTAGTATTCTGTATATAAAGAATACTAATTAGGAGTGTTTTATCAGTTTTAAAGCCACTGCACGTGACATATTATGGTTGACATGATTTGCCAATAAGCTTATGAATTATTAATGAGTGTTTGAATATTATTTTATGACTTTTAAACACATCAATCACTCGTGGTCACTCGAGCAAAACCGGTATTTTGTTAAAAGGAACTATGATTAATAGAAATTAGTCCTTTTGAGTAACATAATCGTGTATCGTCATCGATCCGTGTCGTTGAACAATGAAAAAATTTGCTGTGTAATTAGTGAAGATAAAATAGCAGTTTGTGAGAAAACTCCGTCTGCGGGTCTACGGAGTGAGAACTTTTCGGATTTGAACTCAGCGTGTTCGAAAGTGTTAGTTCCCGTAAAAATATTTCAGATCTAAGACATGCTTAACGAAAGTGAACGATATCGGGTCACAACACACGGACTAATTATTAGAGTTTATTTTAACTTAGAAAGCGTAATAAAGGTCTATCATACAGGGTGTCTAAAAAATTTTAAAAAACGCTATGGAAATTCAACAGGCTGTCGTGCATCATAAACGTGGCTAAACAATCTAATTTTTACATAGGACGAAACAACAGTTATTTAGCTTTTCAATGATACTCTTTTTAAAAATCGTAACAATGAGAAATGGCCACATACTCGTCAAATAAAAATTGCCGGTCGAAATCACATTCTTCCACCGTTGGGAATTGCATGGAAAACAAAACATAAACAATTCCCAAAACTCGGCAAAAGGGAATTAAAATTGAATGTTAAATTATCTAAAATAAGCTCAACTCGTCAATCTTCGTCTCAGTGAGACCATTAGTGGACCTGCATCTTAGGGCCTGTTCATATGAGCCCGGTTAACCGAGCCGGCCCGCTTTGCCAAGCTGGCCCGCTTTGCTTTCACATGAGGCGGGCTAGCCCGGCAATCATATCTATTCATAGTAACGATTTCCCGCGATATTTTAGCGGGAAAATAAAATTCGTGTTTATTTGGCAAAATTTTATTTTTGTCGACGGCAACAGCTTCAGGAGGTTTAATTTCGATAAATTCCTATAGTTTTGGACATTTCAGACTGTTTATCAGTGGAATAAAGCACGCAAATTTCCAGCCCGGCTTGCCGGGCTAGCCCGGTTGTGCATTCATATGAGCCCGGCAAGCCGGGATTTCGCCTCGCTCAAGCGAGATCCCGGCAAACCGGGCTGGCCCGCTTCTCATATGAACCCAATCCTAAATTAATATACAAACAATATGTGAGGCGGGATCTCGGCACTTGAAAACCAGCCCGGCTAGCCGGGCCAGCCCGGCAGAGCAGGGCTCATATGAACAGCCCCATAGGACGTAAACGAGCTTATAACGACAAATCGTATTGGGCAGATCACAGTGGGTTGCGAGCATACCTGCATACTGTATAGTTATGATTTATTGCCTATACTGTATTTCATGTATTTTATTTGACGAGTATGTGGTCATTTCTCATCGTTGCGGTTTAAGAAAGGTATCATAGAAAAGCTAAATAACAGTCTTTCGTCCCGTATGTAAAAAATGAATTGTTTAGTTAAGTTTGTGATGCACAACAGCCTGTTGAATTTCCATAGCGTTTTTTTTAGACACCCTGTACAACAACTGTAATAAAGACAGAAAATGTGTTCTACGTGCGTAGTGGCGTGACATAATACAGAAGCCCTACTTCTTGGTTTTTCCTATGATTTTGGCTTAACCGTAATTCGTCGTCAAAATGCTGACGCCATGGGCCTAGCCAGTGCGCATTTTGAGAGGCATTCAGCCCCCTGAAAATATTCAAAATGGCGGACGTCCAGGGGGTAATGCCCATACAGTAGATATAGGAGTCTCCTATATCTATGGTAATCAAGCCTGGAAATAAGCGTCCGGTCACGGTCATTGACCGGCACAAATACGCGATTTGTAGTGTTTTGACAGGCACAAATTTGATTGTGTCTGTCACTTTGTCCGGCGCTCATTTCAGTGTTTAAACTATAACCTTCCTGTCAACAAATTCTTTATATTCAACCCAAATATCGAAAATAAAATAAAAAATCTTGCTGTCGACAAATTCTCTATTATTTGTGCTATAAAGTTTAAAATTATCCCGTTTATTGAAAATGCACGATGCTTTAAACGCGACGCCATGTTTGTGCAGTGTTTCCACTATGAAAAAATCCTGGTGATGAATGATGATCAAACTGTTTTCCAAGTGGAAACGTCATTCGCGATTTTGGCGGGAATTTTTTGTTGAACCGCGAAAAAATTAAAATGTCGAAGAAAATAACGGACTTTTTTTCCAACAAAAGTAATGATAGTGAAGGTAATTCCAGGGGAACATCCACACCAATAACTAGTGAAACATCTGCAGCAACAACTAGTGAAGCATCTGCAGCAACTACTAGTGAAAGAAGTTCAGATTTAGCTAATCTTTCACAGCGAAAAAAAACTGACAGAACGTTAAAATCAAGCACATTAAAAAAGTGGATTAGCGAAGATTTGGCACCATCCAACGCTTTTGTGTGGCTAAATCATGAAGAAAATGGGCACGGCCAAGTCAAATTGATGAAATGCATGGTGTGCACAACGTTTGAAGAAAGAATAAAGCACAATCGAGATTTTTCTAATGCGTGGATACAAGGGTCATGTAACCTTCGTTTATCTAACGCACAAGATCACGCTGCAACAAAGTGTCATCGGCATGCATACGATCTCTATATTAAGAATTTAACATCCAAAGGTGAATTGTCTAGCAATATGGAAAATCCGCTTAGGCCTCATCCCAGTCAACGCACTCTAGAAGATGGTTTCTCAAAGTTAAATGAAACCCAGCTAGAGCAAACAATTAAGAAGTTTGACATCGCGTATTTTGTTGCCAAAAACGAGTTGCCATTTACCGTCTTTGAAGATTTAATTACACTGGAGAAACGTCATGGTGTTGACTTAGGTGATGTTTACAATAACCGAAAACAATGTGGTGAATTTATTGATGTGAATGCCCAATTTATTGCTCATCAGCTGAATGAAGATTTGACAAAAGCAAAATTTTATAGTGTCTTAACAGACGGTAGTACAGACAACTCAGTAACTGAGAAAGAAGTCGTTTATGTGCTGTATTTTGATCCCCACTCTAAGTCAAATCCAGAGGAAGTAGAAGTCAAACTTTCGTTTTTGTGTCTAAAAGATGTAAAGAAGGCAGACGCAGAAGGTATTACAGTACTGCCAAGAAATAACTTATCAAAAACCGGTATCTTGCGTCCACTGTGCGTCCATGGGCGCCCGCGGGTGCGTCCGTCCTGCGGGCGCCGTGCGTCCACTGTGCGTCTGCGGGCGCTTGCGGGTGCGTCCACTGTGCGGGCGCCATGCGTCCGCTTTGCGTCTGCGGGCGAGGACGCAGCTGAGAAAGAGTTCTATTCGTAGATCGTCGGAAATTATCGCGTTTCGCTTTTCATAAACAAACAGTGGGCCAGTGCTCTCACAATCAAATTTTCGAATTCCTTAGAAAAAGCTCGAAAATTCCTCAGATTTCCTTAAAATTCCTTAAATTGGTAAAATTACTACAAGGCCTGATCACAGAGTTGCAAAAAGTGGTTTTTTCACCTGATTTACCTGAATTTTTTTAACTGAACGTTCTTTAAAACCGTATTTTTTGAAAATTTGAAGTCTCTAGACCGTCGGAAATGGCATTTTTAGAGTCTTTCCTACCCAATATTTTAGTATTGCCTATAACAATGATGATAAGTATTGCTACTTTCAGTTCATAATGGGAAATTGAGAAAATTTTTGAAATTTGGAAAGGGTATTTCGCAATTGTCTCCCTGCCACAACACGTCTCAAAGTTTTTAGTTTGTTTGATTGTTAACTCCAATTCAGATTAGAGAGTTCACTTTTTTATGCCCTGAGAATTACCTGAATTTACCTGAAAATCTACAGGATATCTACCTGAAATTGTTCATGAGCAATATTAGGGGTGTTGCACCCTCCCTCCCCCTCCGGTCGCTAGGGCCCTGAGAACTTAGAAAATCTGTAGATTTCAGAAGAAACAGCATACACTGACATTTAACTTTTGAGAATTTTAATGGAAAGACATGGCTATGTACATTTACAACATAGAGAACATACAAATATATGTAATTATGTGCATATAATGTTGCTACTTTCAAGTTTAAATCTCATTTGCGTGGCGTGGTTATTCTCCGTCAAAACGTTTTTAGTCCAGGATAAAATGTTTTGGAAATTCCTTAAAAAAATCCTCAAAAACCTAAATTCCTTAAAAAAATCCTTAAAACTCTTCAAAATTCCTATTTTTAAGGATAATTCCTTAAAAGTGAGAGCACTGGTGCTCTCACAATCAAATTTTCGAATTCCTTAGAAAAAGCTCGAAAATTCCTCATATTTCCTTAAAATTCCTTAAGTTGGTAAAATTACCACAAGGCCTGATCACACAGTTGCAAAAAGTGTTTTTTTTCCGCCTTTCTTCTGTTTTTCAGTTTTTATAACCTTGTTTCTAAGCACTAATGCTTATGCACTTGTTCGGCATAATGCCATAAAGAAAACATTCAAAATGATGTATTTTTGATCCGTGCTGCATGAAGGGCTAAAAAATCTGTAGATTTCAGAAGAAACAGCATATACTGACATTTAACTTTTGAGAATTTTAATGAAAACACCAGTGGGGATCGTGCCGAAGGCACGGAAAATTTTAAAATTTGAATCCCGGAAATGGCATTTGCAGCGTTCTGAGAACACAGTTTGTAAAAAACTAGGGTTTCAAAACACTGTTTTAATGGTGCGTTTTGTTATAAATCACATGCCAAGCCATGTACAGAAACATATACTATTATATTATGATGACAATTACGTTATATGAGTGTGATTTGTGTTATTTGGTACAAGATTTTTGCAGTCTTTCAAAATTATTGGGGGGGGGGGCTCAGCACCCCCCCCCCCCTAGCCCCCTCCAAGTGCCGCCACTGGAAAAGACAGCCATATATACAATAATGACATAGAGAACATGCGAATATATGTAATTATGTGCGTATAATGTTGCTACTCTCAAGTTTAAATCTCATTTGCGCGGCGTGGTTATCCTCCGCCCAACGTTTTTAGTCCAGGATAAAATATTTCGAAAATTCCTTAAAAAAATCCTCGAAAACGTAAATTCCTTAAAAAAATCCTTAAAACTCTTCAAAATTCCTATTTTTAAGGATAATTCCTTAAAAGTGAGAGCACTGGTGCTCTCACAATCAAATTTTCGAATTCCTTAGAAAAAGCTCGAAAATTCCTCAGATTTCCTTAAAATTCCTTAAATTGGTAAAATTACCAGAAGGCCTGATAACACAGTTGCAAAAAGTGTTTTTTTCCTCCTTTTTTCTGTTTTTCAGTTTTGTAACCTTGTTTCTAAGCACTAAAAATTGAAAACATTTGATTGTTAGCGTAATGCCATAAAGAAAACATTCAACATGATGTATTTTTGATTGTTGCTGCATGAAGAGCTTAAAAAATCTGTAGATTTCAGAAGAAACAGCATATACTGACATTTAACTTTTGAGAATTTCAATGAAAAGACCAGTGGCGGACACTTTACGAAACATTGGCCGGGGGGGGGAGCTCGTGCCGAAGGCACGGACAAATTTTAAAATTTGAATCCCGGAAATGGCATTTGCAGCGTTCTGAGAATACATTTTGTGAAAAACTAGGGTTTCAAAACACTGTTTTAAGTTTTGTTATAAATACATGCCAAGCCATGTACAGAAACATATACTATTATATTATGATGACAATTACGTTATATGAGTGTGATTTGTGTTATTTGGTACTGGAAAAGACAGCCATATGTACATTTATGACATAGAGAACATACGAATATATGTAATTATGTGCGTATAATGTTGCTACTTTCAAGTTTAAATCTCATTTGCCGATTTGCGTGGCGTGGTTATCCTCCGTCCAACGTTTTTAGTCCAGGATAAAATGTTTCGGAAATTCCTTAAAAAAATCCTCAAAAACCTAAATTCCTTAAAAAAATCCTTAAAACTCTTCAAAATTCCTATTTTTAAGGATAATTCCTTAAAAGTGAGAGCACTGGTTCGAAGTCACAAAAGTTTTAGTTTACAAATATACGAAGAGTAACCCCCGGAAATAAAACCCTAGGGAGCCACCTTAATCATATTTTGAGTTAATAGATGGAAACATTGTTTGGTTTTTAATTACTGTACAAAATTTCAGACAATTTGGTTTAGTTTAAGCCGTTTAACTATTCATTTTATTCTAAAAAATCAGCCTTTCGCATGCTTAATTAATGCATTTACCTAATTTGCATATTGCTAACATATGCAAATTAGGCAAATGCATTAATTAAGCATGCAAATAGCTGATTTTTAGGAAAAATGTAACTTTGCGTGAATAGTTAAACGGCTTAAACTAAACCAAATTGTCTGAAATTTTGTACAGTAATTAAAAATCCGACAAATGTTCCATCTATTAACTCAAAATATGATTACAGCTTTTAAATTTTGTGCGCAAGCCATTTTTATTTTGTTGGAAAAGACACACCCCCCTGGTTCACAATATTTGAGTTCAAGAAATTTTTTTCATTATTCTACATTATAAGTACCCAAAGAAGCTATATATATAAAAAACGGGATACAAACAGGTGTTTTGCGAAATTGAGAGCGATTTCAAATCTGTTCAGTTTTTTTTGATACACCCTGTATATATATATATATATATATATATATATATATATATATATATATATATATATATATATATATATATATATATATATATATATATTAATAAACAGTGCTTAGGCGACAATGCTTGAGTCATTAAATTTTGTTAACGATCTTGCTTACTCGAAACCGGTTTTTGTGACGACACTTTATTATATTCTTTTATTTCTCTAAACGTGTACTTGTAACTACAAAGTCTGCCATGCATATAATATATTCACTAAGTCTATATGCAAGCTTTTCCCGCCATCTCAAAGTCACGTGTCCACCGCTGGACACTATATCTCTCCCTTTGTATTAATTAAAGGAACAAAACACAATTTTAAATGTCATAACTAATGTCAAACCCAGTTCGCTTGTATATAATATGAAGTCCAATTGTTTATGTTATAAAGTCCTGCATTCTAGCTGGAGGTCTACGCATCCTTGCAGGTCGTGTGTTTACAGTGACTGCAGGCTCGGCTGTTACTGGTTGCCCTTCAATCTCGTCCTCTTCGTCGGAGCTTTCCGTAAACTGTTCGACACCGGCATTTTCAATTTTCCTAGTCAATGAGACATTACGCATGATAGCTGGCTCGTTTCCTCGCTGCAGAAGAACACTACTTCCATGCCGTTTAACCACGCGATAACCATTGGGATCAAAGGATGTTGACAACTTATTGCTCTTAGGCTGTTTGAGTAGCACCATATCCCCTTCTGAGACCGTTGAAGGAGTGGATCGATTCTTGTTATCACTGTACTGCTGCATTTTCTCTTTGTTTCTCTTGTCACGAGCAAGGGCACTACCCAGGGTTTCTGATTTCTCTGGTTTACTTATCTCAGGCACCTTTGTCCGAATCTCGCGTCCAAACATGATTTTGGCAGGAGAAACTCCAGTCATTGCATGAGGGGTAGCTCTATAGTTCAAAAGAAAGGTATCCAACGCCTTTCTCCAATCTCTCCCTTCGACATGTGCGGTGCGGATAGCCTTCTCCACTGTACGATTGAATCTTTCAACGGTGGCATTAGCCTGGGGCCAATATGGGGTGACTTTGCGGTGGTATATACCATGGGAAGAGAAGAAGTCCTCGATCTCTCTAGAGACTAAATTGGAACCGTTATCAGAGATGACTTGCTCAGGGAGCCCATGTGTTGCAAAAATCTTCTGTAGACGGCGAATGATAACTTCTGATGATGTGGCTCGAATAATCTCCACTTCTGGCCACCGTGAGCAGGCATCAACACACACTAGCAGGCTTTCTCCCGAAGGGAAGGGGCCACAGAGGTCAATATGAATGGACTGCCATGGTTTGGAAGGCATGGTCGAAGGACGAAGCGGTTCGGGTACAGTTGGCGGCATGGTGGACTGACAGGGTAGGCATGTCTTGACGAGGGTCTCTGCTTCAGCATCGATTCCTGGCCACCACACCTTCTGACGGAGGAGTTGTTTAGTGCGCACAATGCCTTGGTGGCCTTCGTGAGCCAAGGAAAGGGTTTGGTGGCGCAGGCATTTAGGCATGACAATACGAGTTCCTCGAAGCAGCAAGCCTTGGCTTGCTGACAGCTCATCTCGCACTTTGGCAAACCGCTGAAGGTCAGGGTTGTCTGGCCAATGGTTGTGCAATAAACATTGCTGAACCCGTTGCAAGATAACATCATCTTGAGTCGCTTTGGATATTTGTTCCAGTGTCATGGCTTTAGGAACCGCTTTCTCTGTAATAAAATTGATGTATTCTTCAGCTACATTCCGTGCACGGGTGGGCTGGCCACTAATTGGCAATCGGGACAGCACATCTGCAGGGTTTGTCTTCCCGGGCATGTGGACCACTTTAAAACGATATGGCTGAAGACGAAGGACCCACCGCTCTATACGTGGAGGTGGTTTTCCCTTCGGGCTATAGATAAACTCGAGTGGCTTGTGGTCAGTGAAAAGTTTAAACGTAGTGCCATAAAGATACAGGTGGAACTTTTCACACCCCCACACAACTGCGAGCGCCTCTCTTTCTGTCTGTGAGTAGCGCCTCTCAACATCGGTGAGAGTTCTCGATGCATATGCAACAGGGCGTGTCTCGTGGCCATCGGACTGCATTAGGATGGCGCCTAACCCAACTGGACTGGCATCCACCCTAAGCTCGTATTCTGCTTCAGGGTTATAATGAGCCATTACGCAGTCGCTGGTCAAACTGTATTTTAGCTCGTTGAATACCAGCTGCTTGGTTTTCCCCAAGCCCATTTGGCCCTCATTCGAGTTAATTGCCTAAGTGGCTCGGAAACGGTGGCCAAGTTTGGAATGAAGGGAGTACAATAATTGACCAAACCAAGAAAACTTCGCACCTCCCTGGCATTGATTGGAGCCGTGGCATTTTGGATGGCCTCTACTTTCTTGTCATCTGGAGACAGGCCGGCAGCGGAGATTTTGCAGGATCTGGTCCAAACTGCGGTCATGTTCAGCCTGGGTTGTTCAAAAGACAATAATGTCATCGGATATGTTGCGGACCCCTGGGATCCCAATTAGCACTTGCTGGTTGACAAACTGGTACATTTCAGATGCTGACGACAAACCGAAAATTAATCGTTTATACCAATTTAAGCCTTGGGGAGTGGAATAAGTTGTCAGCCCACTAGAATCTGGGTGGAGCTCAATTTGGTGGTAACCCCAACGCAGGTCTAGCTTGGAGAAAACTGTTACCCCATTGAGGGCTTGCACCGTCTCTTCCATTGTGGGGATGGGGTGGCGTTCACGAATGACGGCTTCGTTTGCCCGCCGCATATCAACACAGACGCGTACTTCACCATTCGCCTTCGGGACTGCGACTATAAGTGAAACCCAGGGGGTTGGGCCCTGGACCGACTCGATAATATCAAGATCCTCAAGTACTGTAAGCTTCTTGTCTACAACTTTACGTATGTGGAAAGGTACCCGTCTAGGTGGCTGGGCAACTGGAGGGATATCGGGGTTCACATGCACTTTCAAGTGGTAATTGTTTAGCTTACCTACACCACTGAACACTGTTAGATACTTGGAAAGTATGACTTCAACATCACTTTGCATTGTTACAGCATTAAGAGTAGTTCGAGAAAGTAGCCCGACTCTCAATAAACCAAGAGCAATTGCTGTAGACTGTCCAACTAAGCAGCCTGACTCGATTGTATTCACGACGATAAATTGGGCATTGGTAGATGAGGCTGTTTCACCGGAAACAGCTGGAATCGTAACCATGGCATCGAATTTCCCCAGTACCGGAAATGGTGTAACAGCTCCATAGGAAAACAACTTTACACGCGAATCTGAGAGTTTTATAGTGTTTTCGGGTCCATTATAAAGACGATTGAAAGTGTTCTTGTCCAGAACATTCACACTGACTCACGAGTCAATAATCACTGGAATCTCCGTGCCATGGACAGTAATCGTAACGCTGGTCTGTTCAATGCAAATACATATTCGTCATCGTCAGAAAAGTTGTTATTCTCTCGCTGTTCAATGTGGCTAACTCTTTCGGATTGTTCTGGACGCCTGGCGCTCTTACAAACACGACCAAAATGTCCAAGTTTGCCACACTAATTGCATGCTTTGTTATTGGCCGGGCACGAAGCATCTTTTACTCGATGACCGTCACGACCACAACAATAACAAGCTCGTTTGGGAAGTCGATCGTCTGACCGCGAGTCTTGACGCTGTGGGCTACCTGCAGGACGCTGAACGAAATTCTTGACTGGTATTGGTATTCGATCTGGTATTTGTTGTGCTTGGCGATCAGACGCTTCGAGGGCTCTGGCAATGCGTAAAATAACATCGAGGGTAAGGGTTTCTTCGCGAAGTAACCGACGCCGTAAACGCGTTGAATAACATTTCTCCAGGAACTGATCGCGAATCATTTCGTTGGACAAGGTACCATAATCACAGGTTTGTACTAATCGTTTGAGTCTAGAAACGTACGTATCCATCGTTTCCGAGGGGTCTTGGGTGGCTTGTCTAAACATAAGGCGTTCAAACGAGATATTCTTTTGCGGTTTGAAGTAGGCATCCAACTTTTCGAGAGCAGTAGCGTAGTCATCTCCCGTGTCACTTAGTGTTTCGAATACTTCTTGTACTTCTGGTCCAGCTAAATGCAACAACAATGCCCGTTGTCGTTTCTTGTCCGTCACGTTCGAAGCGACCAGAAAATATTCGAAACCTTTGACCCATTGTGTGCAACGTTGACTGAGCGTAGCACTGTCAGATAACACAGAGAAGGGAGCTAGAGTGGGAAGTTGCGAAGCTGCCATAGGTTCAATGTCTCGTCGCCAATATTATGTTCTTTTATTTCTCTAAACGTGTACTTGTAACTACAAAGTCTCTCATGCATATAATATAGTCACTAAGTCCACATGCAAGCTTTTCCCGCCATCTCAAAGTCACGTGTCCACCGCTGGACACTATAATATCCTAAGATATTGATATCCTAAAGATACTGAGATCCTAATGCAATGATATCCTAAATATACTGATATCCTAAGATACTGATATCCTAAGCCAAGACAAGACAAGATGGCCAAGACAAGACAAGATGGCCGACGATCACGGCTTACTGAGCTCACCGAAACATAAGAGTTTAAGACTGTTTATAATGATATGAACTTTATTAAGTTATTAAAGGATGAATCGCACTTGCTTTATGATGGGACTCGTGTTATTTGGACAGGGGAACTACATTTGTTAAAGAATTTCGTCGAAAGTACTGTCGGTTGGGCAGGGAACTGGTTTTCACCTGGCGGCAGAGATAAACAATTCAAAATCAAAACCATGATCTTACTATGACTTGGTATCCGGGCAAACTAAATTCCCTATTGTTCCACGGAAAGGATGGAGACATGTTTAAAGAATTTCTGGTGAGTGTTTTGGAACAAACAAAGGTGCATACAGACTGTTTATCCCCTACAGTTGCGGATGCGTTGCTAGAAACCGAGCCTCCCCCGGTCGAATCAATCAAAACTGTTAGTGAAAATAGCGTTGATCCTAACCAATCTCCCCCAGAGAATCATACTTGCGCCTGTAGATCTTATACTGCAAATCTAAAAGATGTCAAATTAGACATTGCAGTTATACAAAAACAAATAGAATCTATTAATCGGGTCATAGATTCCACAAACAATATTATAGAATCTATGAGTGTTATCTTTAGCCCCTCAGGCACGGAAAGCCATCAAATATCCTACGACCTTAGAGTTGAAACATTGCTCAGAGAGTTTTCGTCAATTTTAAACGAAAAAAACAGAGAATTGGAGAAACGAGATAATATTATTAATAGCCTTCAAGAGAAATTAATCAAGGTTGAAAGCGAATATTAAAATGTTGAATCCCTAGTTGCAGAACGCCATGAACAAGAACAATGCCAACACAATAGAAATCACAATTGGCTTATTCATAATGAGAGCAGAAGCAATTTACCTAATACTCAGGCGGATGATTCCAATATAAATATGCAAAATCAAGAAAATAGTGAAAATTTACTTCTGGTCAATAACAAAGAAATTGTTCAAATTAAAACTTTTTCTGATAAGGATCAATCGCCCCCTCCACGAAAGGTTAAATCCGGACTTAAAGATTCGGTCGAGCTGAAACTACAACCTGTGCCACACGAACCACCTACCTCTACAGGGTGTATCAAAAAAAGCGCAATCCTCGACTGAAATGTAAATTGCTAAACAAATAATAGACGAACACGTTAAAGTTTACATTCATTTTAAAGCGTAGCCATTCAGCTTTCTAACAGTGGGTTGTTTCTAAAATTGACTCATTGGTTCGCGGGTAATAATACTTTACGTTATTGCGATTGGAGATTAAGAAAATTGAGATGGAATAACAAATCGTTCTCATGAAAATAACTGATTTTTTCATTAAAAAAAACAAATGTTGCATTTTATTAAATGGATTGTAACAATAAGTATAATTACGGCTTTTCTTCTACTATTTTTAACTCAGTTTGAAACTTCAAATGCGATATAATTTTGGCTTGGACCATCTAAGCTGACTGACATCAACTTGCTATAATTTCTGTTTACTTTACATCGCAATTCGATAACACTCTGGCTCAGACACCAGAATGTTTTGACGATTTTTAGCATTCGTTTAGGATTTTCAAACAACCTGGTCTCTTTTAAAATACTTTTAATTTGTTCTTACATGGTTTTCCAGATGTAGTGACGACAACATTAAAGTTTAAAGAAGAAAATTCTAACATTTAAACCGACTAAACAATAACATAGTAAACTTGCATAATCAAACAGCAACTAAAAATGATAGGTTTTACTAAATCTTTTCCTGTGCAATTATTACTAGCATTGGAGACAAGGATAATAGTTTGTTTGAAAGAGAAAAGAACAGGCTTTGAAGTAAGCCTAAAAGCGTTTAACTAGAAATAGTATTTCGAAAGTTATTAAGCACAAAAGATGAATTGCGTTTATTTTGATACACCCTGTAGATCTAATGAACGCTCTCAACAGGTTTTTCTGCCCTTAATAAGTAGCATACCTACAAGTCTGCTACAGTTGAGTAAGCAACAGCCGCAAAGTTCCTATAAGGACATAGCTAACAGCGCACCTGAGGGTACCGGTGAAGGGAAAATGCAATCTAAAGCTACTAAGAACGATCGAATGACATTTCCATCTTTCAAACTCAGCTCACACCAACCGCAACCACGACGTCCACAACCGCATATAAATTATTCTCGGACTTGCTCTCGTACTAGACCAGCTCAAACACGAGACCGGCATAATTCGCGGGTTACTACCCCACAATGGCACCTCAGACAGGCAAATTTTCGGAAGAGCCGCTTAAAGCACAGTCCCCCTGGCTGGAAGGAATTTCTTGTCTTAATCAGCCAAATAACCAGGACGCAATAATGAAGGTGAATAAGATCCCTGTGAGAATTACATCTAATCGAACACGTAATTGTATATCAAGGCACAATGTCCCTAATTCACTCACATATAACTCTAATCTAATTGAAATAAAACCTGAAATGAATGCATCTGGTCAAAATAAGCATACAACTACGTCCAAAATCAGTTCTATCAGTTCTATTCCAGATCGAACTACGACATCAACCCAAGTGCTGCAAAAACCAATCCCCGTGATTGCTTCACGTAAACATAAACATATCGTAAACATAAAACGTTTTACAAAGGGGCAAATTTAGCAAATTGCATTAAAATTAAACCTGATAGATAGTGTTAAAAAAAACACCTCAAAATTCCTTCAAGTTGGTTGTAGTCGGGAATTTGTTCCTAATCTTTTACTAACTAATGTGATGTCACTGGTCCCCAAAATGGACGACTTAGAACATGTTACAAAGCAAAACAATGCAGATCTAATTTTTATTAGTGAAACGTGGCTGAAAAGTTCCGTACCCGATGAAGTAATTGAAGTCAATGGCTATAGAGTCTTTCGACGAGACAGAATAGGAAAGGAACATGGCGGGGTATGTATATATATAAAAGCTTCTTATGTAGCGAATGTTATCCCCGATATACCAAATGTGAAGTGCTGTGGGTCAAAATCATAATGAATGTGAAGTGCTGTGGGTCAAAATCAACCCATGTAGGTTACCAAGAGACTTTTCAACACTCGTCGCAGCAGTTTTATACCAACCACCCACTGCAAATAAGTCAGATATGCTAGAATACTTACAGTCATCATTGGAGTTATTGGAAACCAGATATCCTAACTGCGGTTTAATCCTGGCAGGAGATTTTTATAAACTACCTATAAGACATATCAGCCATCAATTTCAACTCAGGCAGATTGTAAATTTTAATACTAGAGGAACAAGTAAATTAGACCTAATTTTGACAAATTTGTCCAACTTCTACGAAGAGCATTTAAGTACTCCTCCACTTGGTTTATCGGATCACCTTACTGTTTTTGCCTTTTCTAAAGAAAAAAATCGTGGTAACCAGTCTAAAGAAACTATTATTAACGTGCGGGACAAGAGGCCTAGCAGCATCCGTCGCCTAGTAAGATTTTTATGCGAAGTGCCATGGGACATAGTGGTTAATCCAAACCAGTCTTGTGATCAAAACCTGAATAACTTTACTGACGTTATTATGTATGGACTTAAATACCCTAATGCCACTGAAGACTGTGAAGGTTCATCAAAATGATCAACCTTGGATGAACAGCAACCTGAAACGTTTGATTAAAAAAAGACAAAAGGCTCTTGCGCAGAACAAACATGCTTTATATAAACAGTTAAGGAATAAAGTAAATCGATCTAGGAAAAACTGCCGTAAATTATATTATGAAGCTAAGGTGAAAGAACTCAAACACACTAAACCTAAAGATTGGTGGAAGGAGGTGAAACGTCTCTGTGGTCATCAACAAAAGTCGACGGGTAATATCTTTGCAAACCTGCAACAAGATACACAAGACCTCGATTCACTTAGTAACTTGATAAATGACTGTTTCTTGGAACCTATGTGAGACTGCCAGCCACTATCTGATAGTACCATTACCATGACCGATAATAATAGTATAATTTGTTTGACTGAAGAAGAAGTTTTTAAATCGTTAAATGGTGTTAAGCTGGGAAAATCCAGTGGCCCAGATTGCCTGCCCAACTGGGTCTTAAAGAAGTTTCCAGTTATTCTAGCAATGCCAATCTCAATCATTATAAACACATCATTTAAGGAAAATCGAGTGCCTGCCTGCTTCAAAATGGCTAACATCTGCCCAATCCCAAAAGTTAAACAGGTGATAGATGTTAATAAAGATTTTAGACCTATATCTCTTACCTCAACACTCAGTAAAATCGCTGAAAATGCCGTAATAAAATACGATCTAAAACCGGCAATAATGGATCGCCTGGATTGTAACAAATATGGCTTCATTCCAGGTTCTAATACCACCCTGGCTTTAATTACTTTAATCCACCGTTGGTCAAAGACAGTAGACAAAGAGGGAGGATTTGTGCGCTCACTGGTCACGGACTATCGGAAAGATTTTGATCTTATAGATCATAATACTCTTTATAGCAAACTTCAGGGAATAGGTCTAAAAACATCAAGTACCTTAAACTGGATTTC